TTTCCTGGAGCACCTTGGTTCTTGCTTTCCCTCAGCTGTGCTGTCCTTCATATAACTCTGCAAGCTACCCAAATAAACCCCTATTTTGTCCATGCCAAATCCAGTTGTAGTTCTTCATTTTAACCAAGAGTATTTAGAGTATGCGTGCATATGGACTAATATGTTGCTCTTTCAACTATTTCATCCCATGGAAATCTAACCCTTCACATGGGATCTTTTATTAATTTCCATGGGGTCTGAACAATATTTTCCCTTCTACATTCATTTGAATTGCCTCAGCGGAACAGTAAGAGGGATATTGGATACATTATTTAAACTTTCCTTCTATGTTAATTTTTTTCCTCCTTCCTTTGTGATTCAGTTCTCATTAATTTCTTTCACTTTCTGAAATATGAACTGATTTCCCCCTCAAACATTAAAATTGAGTGAAGAAATTAAACTATATAGTTAGAATATAATAGGATTTTATTCCAAAAACAATGTGGAACAGAGCATCACCACTGTAAAAATGTTATTTCAGAAACAGTTTTAAATGTCTAGTGACTTTAGTAATTCAGTTTATGGTCTTGAACTAGTTGCAGGCAGTGTGTGAGCACTTGGTGTGATCTGGGTACACACTCATCATTCTGGATTAAACTCCTGGACAGTTTGGAAACTTTGGTGCAAGTTAATAATTTACCCAATATTTTCCACAGATCCTTTGGCTTCTGTTAGACTTTCAAAAAATATTCCATTGCCGAAACTGGTTTGGCTCAGTGGATAGAGCGTCTGCTTGCGGACTGAAAGGTCCCAGGTTCGATTCGGTCAAGGGCATGTACATGGGTTGCGGGCACATCCCCAGTGGGGAGTGTGCAGGAGGCAGCTGGTCGATGTTTCTCTCTCATCGATGTTTCTAACTCTCTATCTCTCTCCCTTCCTCTCTATAAAAAATCAATAAAATATATTAAAAAAATATTCCATTAATTACAGCATAGGACATATAGTCAATAATATTGTAACAACTATGTATGGTGCCAGGTGGGTACTGGAAATATCAGGAACACTTTGCAATGTATATGAATGTCTAACCTGCAACTCATACAAAATAATATTGACTGTAAATTGTCAATTTGTCAAATTGAAAAAATTAATTAAAATATATTAAATGAGAATAAATGCATCTTTAAAAATATTCCATTATATTAGAAGCTATATATATTCTCCTTTGCACTTGTTGTTAAGCAAACACTATATTGGGACTGATGAAATTTGGGGCACAATCAAAAAATACCTTGTTCCTGAGCTAGCCTTCCCCCCACCCCCAAAAATAAAAAAACTATGAGAAGCCATTGGCTGGTGTCACTTGGTTGGAGTATCATCCTATACACCCAAAGGTGGCAGGTTCGATTCTGGGTGGAGAAGTGTGCAGATATTCTTACAATTGGTGATAGTGCCTTCTCAATAAAGTTACACAACGTTTATCCAATCATGGGACTAGCCTTAACTGCACAGCCCTTTCTTGGTCCTTCTCTGACAATCTAGACACTTTAATTTTCTTATAAATACCCACTGACTAAAAGAATCTTTGAACTCTCTTTCTGTCCCTAGTTAGTTGCTTCGCTGCAAGTCTAAAACAAAACTGATGTGTGCCCTAGTGAATCTATTTGAAAGGTTTGCTCTAACACACTGTAAAAACTTCATGGGGTGAGGGAAGGTAGGCAGCCAGGACTTCCCTGGCTCTCTCACCCCTTACATCTCTGACAGGCCTACACTATCCCAGCATCTCAGTGCTTGCACTTACTTCCAGATTTTATATAAACCATTTTTCTTATTTAGAACTCTGGATCTTATCAAGAACGGCCACTCCACGCCCATTCCAATTTTATCTGAACTCTAAATTCATCTCTGTAAGAGAAACATCCCTAACTAATCTCATTTGATTCGAATCTTCTACTTAGCAGCGTCTCAGAGCTCTCCAACATGTTACATTTCCAGATATGTCACCTGGTCTTTCACTGAGTTCTTCTCTGTGCATGTCATATAATTCTAACTTGGCTGCAAACTTCTTTGATGCCTCCAGCAGCCCTTTGGTGGTTTATTACAAAGCTAATATGGAGGGTTTATTATGCTCCAGACACAATGCTAAGTAATTTACTGGCGAGGTATTTAGGACTCTGCTTAGCACATAGTAAGCCAGTACTAAAGGTTTGTTATTAATACTATTTATAGCCCTATGAAGTCAGTATTATTATCTTCTTTTCCCAGATAAGGAAACTGTGAGGCACAAAGTGTTATATAACTAGTACAAAGTCATAGAGTTCATTAAGTGGCAGAGACAGAACTTGATCCCATTCTGTTTGGCATTATTATCTATTCATGTTCTTAATCAGTACAACATTTTTGGCTAAATACACACACACACACACACACACACACACACACACACACACCAGTCTTTTTTTTTCTCCAATAATGCTCTTGCTGTTTTCAAAGTAGTATAAGTTGTACTCAAGACAGGTTTTTGCTCAGAAATTTTTTCCTCTTTTAAAATTCAACTGCTTCGTAGCCATAAGGTAAAAGGCACAAGTATTTGTATCTCTCTGGAGAATTTCATTTTAATATTTAGAGGCCATTGATATACAGTATGTGTCCTTAGAGAGAAGAATGAGGTTTTTTTTTAACTTCTAAGTTGCTAAGGAACTGATTTTTTGCTTTTTAACTGTTAATATGCTATTCCAGTCAGCTTCTTTAGTTATATTTTCTCTAGTAGATCCAACCACCGATACCTCATATATGCGCTGGTGGAAAGAACAAGACTATGTCAATGGCTGAGCAATATTAAGAGTTCATGGGTACATCTGTAACATAAATGATTAATCGTACGAGAGGCCCAATGCTGATCATGTAATGTATCTTGCTTCTTCACGTTATTTCAGTTGGTGCTCACCATTGCTCTGGGACATAATGGCTTTTCTCCTACGCATGTTGCTGGATTGTTGAGGGGGAAATGCCGCCTGCTGATGTCGTCTCCTGGGGCTCTATAGAGGCCTTTCCCTTCCTTCCCATCTCCCCTCCTCTCTTCCTGTCCCTCCGGCATGCCACCTACCCTCTTCTTCCATAGCGGCCGGCCAGGGCCGGAGCCTGCTTGAAGGGACCGGGGTCTGGGGGCCTCTGAAAGGCTCCCGGGGTCAATGCGGACCAGCCAGGTGACAGATTCTCAATCCAAGCAGCCCTTCCCACGTAGGCAGCACCAGGGCACCCAGATCCCATCCCATCCCAGCTGAGAAACCCGGGGATCCATCCATCCTGCGGCCAGAACCCAGCGCAATCGCCTCCCTCCGGATTTCCACGGGGAGGACTAATGGGCTTGAAGGCGCTTACAGATGCCGGTGGAGCGGCGTGAAAACGGGGTCCTTTAGAAGAAAGTTGCTTTGCTATCAGGACTGCAGTTGGCAGCAGCAGCCACAACACCTAGGACAGCCTGGCGGCTCGCGTGCGCGCCGGGCCAAGGGGCTTGCGGGCAGCGGGACTCGAACGCGGAGCTGACAGGCGCCCCGCGGGGTCCGGTCTGTGGCCGCCCGCGCGTCCAGGTGGCGGCGACAAGAAGCGACGTGCACAGCTGTCTTTCGTCGGGCTAAAGCCTCCCCTCTCTGCCTGCCGCCCGCCGTCCCGCCTCCCGCCCCAGAAATTATCTCAAGCGTTGCCAGTTTGATTCCAGAGCCCCGCTCGGGTAGGGTTCTTTTGTTTCTTTGTGTTAATGACAGTTCCCAGCATTGGCATGCCAGGCTCGGTTAATTTCCTGGATCTCTTGAAGGCAGCTGGGGTGAAATTTCTTCTGCATCATCCTTTTTGGGGATAATTGTTTATGACGTCAGCCTGATTGATTTTTTTTTTTTTTTTGA